CCAGAAGGTTTATTGTGTCTACCAGCACAGTCTCAAGAGCATAGAGGAGATTCCAGGAGACAGACAGTCACTCTAGGAGAGCTGGACAGGGTCGTAGAAAGTCCTGAACCCATAAGCAGGACCAGTATCTGCTCCTTTGTGCAAGGAGGAACAGGATGAACACTGCCAGAGTCCTACAAAATAACCTCTAGCAGGCCACTGGTGTGAATGTTTCTGCCCAAACAATCAGAAACAGACTTCATGAGGGTGACCTGAGGGGACAAAGTCCTCTAGTGGGCCCTGTGCTCACTGCCCGGCACCATAGAGCCTGATTGGCATTTGCCATTAAAGACCAGAATTGGCAGGTCCCCCACTGACACCCTGTGCTTTTCACAGATGAGAGCAGGTTCATCCTGAGCACATGTGACAGACGTGAAAGGGTCTGGAGAAGCCATAGAGAACGTTATGCTGCTATTGAGATCCGATGTGTTTTCAAAGTGTTGCTTTAATTTTTTTGAGCAGTGTACATAGATCTGTCTAGTGTATATTGGATAGATAGATCAATTGCATGAAAGCTGCAGAAAGCTTAATTTTAGGGACAGTTATAATAACTGTATAAAATGCATGTGAATAATACAGGTAATACGTGCAGCTGACTGGCAATACACATCCTTTAAAAAGTTACAGAGAATTCTGCTGTCATGTCTTTTCTGAGAGCTATAGTTCTTTGAGGCACTTTGTTGTGGAAAAAATTGACAGCTCCACAACTGTTTGGCACATAAACCAGGGGATTATAGTCCCATTAACAGCTTGGCAGACTATTCTACCTCTGGTGACAGTTTTACTGGTGGCAGGAGAGGTCACTGCAGTTTGGCAACTCTTACATTTGGCTGTTCTGGCAGCTCACCTTGAAAGGTAATCCTGCAGAAAGTTTACCAATGAGGTCTTCCAATGCCCAGATAGATCCTGTAGATAGATAGATAGATAGATAGATAGATAGATAGATAGATAGATAGATAGATAAATAGATAGATAGTGTGGCCGGGTGACTGTGTATCACTGTTTAAAATAGTGGTTTACGCCAGATTTCATAAAAAGCAAGCACACTAATGGTACAGGTGTGTGCTGGCTTCATATTAGAGCCAGAGTTAGAGTTCAGAGCCCCACGCTCCTGAGGGGGTCATTGTGTGAAGCGAGCCGTAAGAGGTGCTGCTATGCACCAGACTGTCCAATTTGGGACAAACCAAGGCCTCAGCTTGACAGAGAGTCCATGAGGAAACAGAGCAGCTAGGGAGCTGCAAGGAAAGGTGCAGATCTGAGGTGATGAATCCTGGGACATGTTTGATGGTCAGGAGGACCAAAAAGGTACTAAGGGTCAGGAGGACCAAAAGGTGCTAATCAGAGAAGTAAAGCTGCAAGAGAAAGCCAGGAGGCTGAATGTCATGTTTTGTTAATATTGTTGGTGAGAACCCCTGCATGGGAAGACATACCTGAATGAAGTTTACTTTCTTTTAAATAAAAGTGGACAGGGAAGCCGTAAAAACTATTTCTGGTGTGGTTAACTCACTGTTTAGACACTACCACTGAACTACAAAACTCCCAACATGTCAGAACAGACAGATAGATAGATAGATAGATAGATAGATAGATAGATAGATAGATAGATATAGATAGATATTAAATTGTATATTAGAGGTATATGTTTCAGTTCTTTTTTGTACCACCTCACTGTGACTTTATTGGCTGAACTGTTCTCTAAACTTACAAGCCCTGCACCATGGAGCCAGTAAAAACATATTTTGCACTGATGAGGGCTAAGATGACTGAAGCGAATTGCAAATTGGTAATGTTGGCTCCGTAAGTTAACTTTGCTCTTACCCATAGGCAGAGACTAAGCTCTTTGTGTTTTGGATTTTTTTTCTGGAAGTGAGGATGTGTAAATATTTTCTTTTATAAAAAGCCAATGCTGTATTTCACAGGCCCTCTTTAGCAATATGGGGCACTCTCAATATTATGCTCAGAGTACCATTCATAAATTAAGAAGAGATGGATATTCACATCCTATTATGACAGGAGGGAAATATCATCCAGCCATAGAATAGGACATTGCACCCAACAGTGAGAAAAAAAGAGTCACACATATGTAAATTTACAGGGCTGACAGAGTCTAGGGGTTCTTTAAGATGTATTGTCCAATCTAGTATGGATTTAAAGGGGAAACCACACAGACCCCAATTTTGGTTTTGGTATGCATTTTAAGGGGGTACCACAAAAAGGCTCACCCTAAAATCCATTCAAGACTCTTTTTTGAGTTTGCAGCCTGGCTAGCCAGAAAATGGTGAGTACCATTTCAGACCACATGCTTTCAACATAGAGAGGGTACCTTACCATTTCTCCACATCCCTGGCCAGGTGGATGTGGGAAACTACGGAGAAAGACTTATTGAAATTTGGAACTCCCCTTTAAGAAAACAAGGCCCCTAGTTATCCCCTCTACATGAATGAGTAAGGGGTGCCTAGTTCCCCTTGTTACCCATTCACAAAAAAATGGCAATAAACGCAATATTTACCATTTCACCATATTGTGTTGCGCTCCTTATTAATTAATATCTCTTATAATCCCAAAATAAATAATCATATATTTTCCTAGTGATCAAATATACAACAATTGTTAAAACATAAATACATAACTTTACCCAAAATTCATATATAATAATAACTTAATATATAAAACATATTATTAATCCATATCCGTGATTATATACAGTAATTGATTATAATTAATTGTGAATCATAATTAGTGAAAAATAATAATTTAAAAAAATTTTTGTGAATAAATACTCATATAAAATTAATTGATTAATTTTGTGCAAAAACAAAGTCCCATTAATCAAAAAAATATATATATAGTGACTCTGTGCTATAATTAATCTTCAATCCGTGACTGATTGTGAATCCGTGACTGTGTTGTGAATCCTCCAATTAGTGCAGATGTAAGCTCACCTCCTTATCTGCCTACAATTAGGCTATATGCGCTTTTGGTTCACCTCCTTTGGAACCTGCTTGATTAAGATTTCTCCTCCTCTTAGATTGTGGAACAGGGATATCCTTTAGCACTGATTATCCCCTCTGGGATTAATCCCTCCTCACGGTGATACAATCCCCTATACTCTCCTCTCCATGCGTCTCTCCACATGCAGGGAAAAAATGCCAAACATAGTGTTTTATCCTTTTAAAAAAACACTGCTTTATTCCTTCCAAGTAGTACACTCACATTTACTGAAATCGATATAAGGCAATCCAGTGAGTAACGAATCCTCCGCCGACCATTGAGTCATGCACCCGCCGTCTGTCAAACAATCCGGCTATCTCCGAGTGACGTTGCAGCCCCACACCTACGCGTTACGCCACTGGTCACGTGGCTTCATCAGGGGGTATTGATAGGATAGTCACTCTCCCATTGCCCATGTTTATATAGCTCTGCTCTGCCATTTTATTGTATATCTACAGGGGGCAGCCATGTTTTTGGGGGCAATTTCTCTACATTAACACTGTTGCCAATTGATATATTAGTAGCACTTACTGCATTACCTCACCCGGAGAGATATAATGTAACATGACTCAGCGGCTTGCCAGGGTTCAAACGATCTCCTTATACATTACACTCATAATACAGTTTTATTCTTAATACCTAAAAACGATCATATATTTTTAGAAAATTGTTGAAAACCATCATGTACAAAAAATAAATATATACATATGAGAACACATGTGCATATGTATATGAATTAAAATATATTAAAATAATTTTACATCAACAATAAAATTAAATATAAATCTCCTACAAAGAATATCTTTTTAAACAATATACTAAAAAAAATTTTTTAATTAATTAAATAGAAATAAATGTAAATAAAAATAATAAAAATAAAATACAAATAAAAATAAAAATGAAAAATAATAATAAAATAAAAATAAAAAATCTCCCCCATAAATCCATTAATAGTATGCACATCTACTAAGTATGAATAGAGCTCACCTATGCCCATAACCCAAATGTACAACTACCAATCTGGTGTATCTTGACATCCAAATTGTGCACTATATTATATACTACCCTACTTATTATTAACACTAAAAATACATGATCAGGAAATCCAATCACATCAATATGTATGACTGTGGTGAATGAGAGAAAAGTTCTCCCCTACCTATATCTCTAATACTTCTCTCACATTCACCACATAGAGGTGCAAAAACCTCCTAAACTAAGGTAATACTACATTCATGGATATAACCATCATGTATAATTTTTACATCTAAACATCACTACTGAAACAAGATAAGTCAAATTCCTTGTTTAAACCCCCTTGTTTAAAGTTTTTTTAATGGAACTGGATTTTACAGATGCGGTCGCTGCTATAGTTGTAGAAAAACACATGGGAAATCAAGATGTAGACAGTCATTTAAGAATCCAAAGAATGGGAAACAATATGAGATCAATCAATTTATTTCATGTGATAGTAGGGGCGTAGTGTATGCCCTAAAATGCCCATGTAATCGTTTATATATAGGACGCACAAAGAGAAGTCTCAAAGAACGTGTAAAAGAACATATACACAATATCAGTATTGGTTATAAATATCACCATTTATCAGTACATTTTAAATTATATCATAATCAAGATATAGAGAAAATAGAATTCTGGGGAATTACGAAACATAACTCACATTGGAGGGGAGGTAATCTAGTGCGTGAAACTAGTAAAAAAGAGTCATTCTGGATCTATGAGTTGGGAAGTCTAGCACCAGGGGGTTTAAACAAGGAATTTGACTTACCGTATTTTTCGCTCCATAAGACGCACCTGACCATAAGACGCACCTAGGTTTTAGAGGCGAAAAACAAGAAAAAAAATATTCTGAACCAATGGACTGCAGACACAGTACAGGGGATGACCAGAGACTGCAGACACAGTACAGGAGATGACCAGAGACTGCGGACACAGTGCAGGAGATGACCAGAGACTGCGGACACAGTGCAGGAGATGACCAGAGACTGCGGACACAGTACAGGAGATGACCAGAGACTGCAGGACATAGTACAGGAGATGACAAAAGATTGCAGACACAGTACAGGAGATGACCAGAGACTGCGGACACAGTACAGGAGATGACCAGAGACTGCGGACACAGTACAGGAGATGACCAGAGACTGCAGACAGTGCAGGGAATGACCAGAGACTGCAGACAGTGCAGGGAATGACCATAGACTGCAGACAGTGCAGGGGATGACCAAGAGACTGCAGACAGTGCAGGGAATGACCAGAGACTGCGGACACAGTGCAGGGGATGACCAGAGACTGCAGACAGTGCAGGGGATGACCAGAGACTGCAGACAGTGCAGGGGATGACCAGAGACTGCAGACAGTGCAGGGAATGACCAGAGACTGTAGACAGTGCTGGGGATGACCAGAGACTGCTGACCTTTAGGGAGGGAGGGAGAGCGGGTACCTGAATTTGACAGGTACCCGCTCCCACTTCTGCGGAGTTGTCCTTCCCTCTTCTTCCCGGGCCGGCTTCTGTGACAGCCGGGTGTCCACTGCGCATGTGCTGCGCTTTGCGAATGGCCCGGCGCCTTCTGGGACCTGTCATGTGTCCCAGAAGACAGCGGATCATTCACAAGCGCAGCACATGCGCAGTGGACACCCGGCTGTCACAGAAGCCAGCGCGGGAAGACTGTGCATTGCTGGAGCGAGGAACAGGTAAGGCCCTGCAGGAGAGAACAGCTGAGCGGCCAGCCCGGTATTCTGACATGGTGGCGGCAGAAATACCGGACCGGCCGCTTTATATTCGCTCCATAAGACGCACTGACATTTTCCCCCCTTTTTTGGGGGGAAAGAAGTGCGTCTTATGGAGCGAAAAATACGGTATCTTGTTTCATTAGTGATGTTTAGATGTAAAAATTATACATGATGGTTATATCCATGAATGTAGTATTACCTTAGTTTAGGAGGTTTTTGCACCTCTATGTGGTGAATGTGAGAGAAGTATTAGAGATATAGGTAGGGGAGAACTTTTCTCTCATTCACCACAGTCATACATATTGATGTGATTGGATTTCCTGATCATGTATTTTTAGTGTTAATAATAAGTAGGTAGTATATAATATAGTGCACAATTTGGATGTCAAGATACACCAGATTGGTAGTTGTACATTTGGGTTATGGGCATAGGTGAGCTCTATTCATACTTAGTAGATGTGCATACTATTAATGGATTTATGGGGGAGATTTTTTATTTTTATTTTATTATTATTTTTCATTTTTATTTTTATTTGTATTTTATTTTTATTATTTTTATTTACATTTATTTCTATTTAATTAATTAAAAAAAAATTTTTTAGTATATTGTTTAAAAAGATATTCTTTGTAGGAGATTTATATTTAATTTTATTGTTGATGTAAAATTATTTTAATATATTTTAATTCATATACATATGCACATGTGTTCTCATATGTATATATTTTATTTTTTGTACATGATGGTTTTCAACAATTTTCTAAAAATATATGATCGTTTTTAGGTATTAAGAATAAAACTGTATTATGAGTGTAATGTATAAGGAGATCGTTTGAACCCTGGCAAGCCGCTGAGTCATGTTACATTATATCTCTCCGGGTGAGGTAATGCAGTAAGTGCTACTAATATATCAATTGGCAACAGTGTTAATGTAGAGAAATTGCCCCCAAAAACATGGCTGCCCCCTGTAGATATACAATAAAATGGCAGAGCAGAGCTATATAAACATGGGCAATGGGAGAGTGACTATCCTATCAATACCCCCTGATGAAGCCACGTGACCAGTGGCGTAACGCGTAGGGGTGGGGCTGCAACGTTACTCGGAGATAGCCGGATTGTTTGACAGACGGCGGGTGCATGACTCAATGGTCGGCGGAGGATTCGTTACTCACTGGATTGCCTTATATCGATTTCAGTAAATGTGAGTGTACTACTTGGAAGGAATAAAGCAGTGTTTTAAAAGGATAAAACACTATGTTTGGCATTTTTTCCCTGCATGTGGAGAGACGCATGGAGAGGAGAGTATAGGGGATTGTATCACCGTGAGTGAAAGTAGGTAGGTGGTCTTTTTCCTGTTCCTTGGGGGCCCCCTCAAGATACCAACGGTCACACCTGGACACAGCTACGAGATCTCGGAAAGTGAATGCACTCAAATCACCTCAGTTGCGATTGCAAACACTTCAGTTTTATTGGCATAACATCAGGGTTATTATACTGTAGTCTTTAGGCAAACACACCCTCAGACCTTCCAATCAAATACATGGACATTGTTTTACCTTAACTCAACAATTATTTGTATGAGGTTTGCATTTTCACTCTTCTGCTTTATCTATCATACCATATCTGCTCTATCGCCCAGACCATGGCTGTAATCTGACCCAACGCCCAGACCATGGCTCTAATCTGACCTAACACCCAAGTTGTGGTTAAAACTTTTCAGAAGTCAGAGTAAACCTTATCTGCTTTTTTGTACGGTTTGCAAAAACACTCATTTCTACATGAAGCTGAGATAGACAATTTTGTTAGTGTGCACATATCTCATATATGTATATTAAACTAGCATCTTGTATTAGTGTATACAAAATGGATTCAGTTATATTCCATTTAATCCTTTCAGTCCCCTCTTTTATCACATAGTGATAACACTTTTCACACTCCCTATCATCTCAATCCCATGCATTTCCTCATATTGTTGAAGCAAAAACATTTCCTCCCTTTCCTTCTCATTAATTCTCATTTTGATACACATGATCATTCGGTATAACAGATATCCCATAAAAATCAATAAGAAAAACATAATCATGAGGGAGATCAATTTTCTAAAGCTGCTGAATATGTTCCTAAACCAGGAACCATCTCCTATGCCCTTAAAGGGATTCCACCCATCCTCAGCTATAGCTCTAGCTTCAGCCTGGA